TGCTGTTTCCCCAGATCTCAATGTGTCATGTTCACAACTGGTTCACAACTGATTTTGTGTGCTAATCTTTATCCTAATGAATCCAGTAAAGGTGTATGTTAAAGCCCGGTGTGGTGGTGCACATCTTTAATCACAGCACTTGTCAGCCTGGTCTATAAAGAGTTCCAGGCTAGTCAGGGCTACATAGTGAGAGAATCCATGTCATCCGAATCAATACATCAATTGACTATTTGTATAACTGCTGTACTTTTAAGAAATAATATTTGTGCTTTAATACACATCAAATGCAAAAATACAGTAAATATAGAGAAAGCATTTGACAGGTAAGATAGATTTGTCTTGAAAATGAATTATTTAATTGATAATGCAGTTAAAACATGAAAAAAAATAGAAAAATTCAAGGACTCCACCCTTACTGATTTCTTGCTCATACATGAACACTAACATATGCCCATGTGAATGCATACAACTCTGTCTCTGTCTGCCTTGCTCTAAATCTACTTAGTGGGAACTTTATTGGAAAAGCATAAGTAAAAGACAATTGAAATTAGCTTAAGGGTTTAAAAAAAAAGAGAGTATGTTGACAAGTGTGGTGGTACACATATGTAATCCGGTAATTCCAGCAATGAAAAGGATGAGTAGGTGGATCCTGAATTCAAGGTCAGCATGGGCTGCATAGTGAAACCCTGTCTAAAAAATCAAACAACAAACAATTCCTGGATTCAATGCACAGACCCCCCCCACCCAAAAAAGTATGGTTAATGACTATTATTATGTTATAAACTAAAAGTGCTAAAAATTCATTCAGATATCTGTTAACTGGGAGAGAGTTCAGTTTTAAGTAGTGAGGTAGATTTCTTTTCTAATTAAGGAGATCAAAGGGCAATGGGGTGAGAGAATCAAGCAAGATTAAAGAAAAAAAAAAAAAAAGAAGTCTGCTGGGTTTCCTCCTTACTTTCCTAAGTGTAATTTCGAATTATTTCTGGGTATTTCAGAAAACTCTCACTTTCTTACAAGGAAATGGTCTGGATTAGAGCACTGACAAATTCTAGGAATAACTAAATATCCCATTAATCACTCTTACATAGATCATGGTAACCTAACTCGATTCTCAGTAAATGCAAACTTCTACAATATATCCTTGGAATACAGACAGTAAGGAGGCCAACAGTAGGCAGAGCTGAGCCTTTGTTAGGCCAGTCCCTACCTCAAAACCCAAGGCAAAATTCTTAGAAACATAGTCACAAAGACAACATCTCCTAAATGTTTCTAATTCAGTCATCTGAAAATCAGAAGACTTTTTTTTTTTTTTTTGCACTTTCCAATGTTGTGTTTAGTTATTGTTTAAACAAAGAATTCCCTGGTAAAGGGCCAACACTTCTTATTACAGATTCATACAGATGTTTATGTTATAAGGCACAATGACTACTTTGAGTCTTGAATTAAATCTGACATTTATAGGAATGTTTCATGTAAAAAGTCACCAAAGATGCAGAAATGATGGACTCCTCTTTTCTGTAGTGTGTGAGTATTCAAGATACAGCTTACATTTTTTTTATTGTTTTACATGACAGTATATAAAATTACAGGCCATCTTTGTTTTGACCTATCAAAATTGCGGTTTCATGTGGCCTAACCTAATGACTGTCTTTGCACTTGTTTATTTTGCAACTTGGAGGTAAAGACTCTGCATTAGTTGTCTTTTTACCTCCAGCACATAGCACAAAGGGATGAACAAATGATATGCACACAATACAGGGTAAGTTCAACTAACGAGTGTGTGAACTCCACATACTTAAATTGGTAAAGAATGGGAAGTTTCTCTACCTCTGTGGGCTATAGGTTGAGAAGCAACAAATATCCCATTTGTGCTGGATAGCTTTAGTGTCAACTTGACACACCTGGGTTGAGGAGCCTCAATCGGGGAATTGTCTCTATTGGACTGGCCTGTGGCCATGTCTGAAGGGCATCTTCTTGATGAGTGATGTGGGAGGGCCCAGCCCACTGTGGGTGGTACCACCTCTGGGCAGGTGGGCCTGTGTTGCATAAGAAAGCAGGCTGAGCAGGGTCCGAGGGAAAAAGCCAGTAAGCAGCATTCCTTCATGGCCTGTGCTCCAGCTCCTGCCTCCAGGTTCCTGCCCTGAGTTCCTACCTTGGGCTCCCTGATGAACTGCGACCTGGGAGATGTAAGCTGAATAAACCCTTTCCTCCCCAAGTTAGTATTGGTCAGAGTATTTTGTTACAGCAATGAAGAACAAACTAGGACACCATTCAAAAGAAAAGTACATTTTGATTTTTTAAATTTTTCCCCCAGGTTGTAAGCTGTAGTTATACAATGACAAATACTGAGATGACTGGCTTTATATTTTATTCTTCTTGCACAGAGTGGAGGCATATATATATAAAATGTATTTATATATAATGTATTTATATATATAATGTATATATATAAAATGTTTTTATATATATTCAGCAGTTCTGCAAAATAAATATTGCCATTCCATTTATAGACAAATAGCTCATCTCAGAAAATGTAAACATCTGCCCCATCATTCCCATGTATCACTCTCCATCATCCTGTGCTGCTATATTGTCTAGTAGTAACAGAGTGCCATGAAGAAAAGAAAAGCAGTCCTGCTTGGAAAGTACATGAGGGTGGCTTCTCTTTAGGTAGGTGGTTAGAGAAGACCTCTTAGGGGAACAGGAAGAAGCCTTGGAGCAGAGGCCGGGATGACCTGAGGGAGTGCAATGTGCAGACACCTGAGGGAACTGTGGAGCAGCGAGGATACAGTCCTCAGGTAACACTTTTGAAGATGCTTCCACAGGGTACCAGAGTGATGGTTTTCAGTCAAATTATCTCTGTTAATTTACTTCAGGAAGATTAAGGGTAGTCAACGAACCTGAAACCTACCAGTTATTCTCTGTCTGGCAATGTATTGGCTGTGCCATGTTCATTTCCCAAAAAGAACTTCCTCCAGGCACAGGAAAACATTCCAGGAGGTCGAACCTTACCCACTTATCCATGTCTAGCATTTTACCATTATAATCGGTGTTTACCAACATCTCAAGGAATCACTGTTTTCTGGAATTTCAATGGGGTGCTGGGGTTTTCTTTGAGCTCTGCAGCTGCCTCTAGAAAGCCCAGAAGAATCTACTCCAGAGCAGGAGGGCACTGCCTCTGCCATAGCTTTGATCCTTCTGTATCAAGCATCACCTGCCTATGGTCCTACAGAGGAATCAGTTCTATTTGCAACAGGGGAGCCCGTCAAGCTTTCTTGTTCAGTGAGGATCTCTACCTTTGGAAGATACTATGAAGACAAGTAAAATGTTTCAAGTCTTGTGATCTAGTGGAGAAGATGGACAATATCTGTACAATAATAAATGTCAGTGGTACATGATCTAAAGAAGGAAAGAACAAGAGACTATATTTAATTGGAGGTATTAAATCGGGTACCCTGCAAAATGTCTAGCGAAGTGTTCAGTGCTTGCTATGCACTCAGTAAACATCAGCAGCTTCTAGTGGCTTCACAGAGGAAGCAGAATTTGAGGCAAGATAGGATTGCATGTCATATAATAGGATGCCCTATTTGGATTTCACTTGAATAACAACAAAATTTTAACAAAAATATATTCCAAATATTATACAGGACAGACTTATACTAAAATACGTTAATCATCTACCTGAAATTCAAATTCAACTGGGCATCCTGATTTTTTTATTTACTACATCTAGCAAATCTAAGCCAAAGGTTTCTGTTAGCTTTATTGGTTATGACTACCAAATAAAAAAATGTATATGCATGACGTGTTTTGAAACATACATAAATTGTGAACTAATCACCATTTCGAGCTAGTTAGCATTGGCTACCTTTCTCTCATTTGGTAATCTTTTTTTTTTTTCTCCTTTCCATTGCCCCCACCCTCATTTCCTGGCAACCACTGCTGCATTCTCAAGGTCCACGTTTTAGATTTCACATATAAGTGAGATCACAGTCTTTCTATTTGGCTTCTCTTATTTAGGATGACGTCCTCAGTGTGTGCCATCACACCCAGCTTGTATATACATTTTTTGTTTATCTGTTTATCCATTAAGGAATGTTTAGGCTGCTCTCATAGTGGTGCAGTTGTGAATAATATGGCCATATTCTCTTCCAGATCTTGACTCTGTTTTCTTTGGAAAGAGGGATTGGTAGACCTTACAATAGTTGCACTGAGCCAAGAAGAAATTTGATATAAAGATCAAGAGTAGGAGAGGAAAGTCAACATGCCCAAAGGCACAGAAAGAACCAGGGTTGTCCATGGCACTTTGGGTTTTCCAGTAATTGCTACCACTTACAGAGCCCTTACTGTGTATCAACTGTGGCAATCACTTCTCTGAGGCCTTACAAGGATCAACTTCTTTGTTCATTCACGGGTCATAGGTTACCATTATTAGTATCTATAAAATAAGGAATCTGATTCACATGGAGGTAAATTAACTTGCACAGGAGCACAGAACCTTGAAATGATGTAGCTAGAATTGTGGATCTAGGGTGTTTGGCTCGAATGACTTCTGTCTTAAGCTTTTGGATAGAGAAAAAAGGTCTGTTTAACATAAGCTTACTGTAGGCCTTTCAATCATTTTGAAAGTCAGAGGAGCCCTGAATCCTACACACAGTGAAGTATCATTGACTAAATCTCTACTTCAGGGACAGCCAGACTGCCCTAGTAACCCTCACACGCCTTCAGGTACGGAAGTATGCTCACCTTTGTATCCTCAAGTCCCCTACTTCCTGGAATATGCAATCTTCCCCCAGCCGCAGGCTGCAGAATCAAACTCTAGCATTTGCAACAACTTATCGGAAACAAACAAGCGACAGAGAATTGAGCAAGAATTTCTGGGATAACAATATTATCGCCAGCGCAAAGGACACAGCCTGAGCTTTGACTGTCTAAACAGGACAAAGGTGATGATTAACCTAGCCTCCTGCAGATTTAAATGGGATGAGAGCTCAGAGTGGAAGCAATCCTCCTTTCTTTCAGTCAGAGTGCTCATGAGCCAGCCCCAGACCCAGAAAGGATGTTTTCCCTGAGTATCGCCTGTCTGGTCCTGAGTGTGGTCGGCACAGTTTGGGTACGTACTTTCCTTTCTGCCTTTCTCTGCTGTTTTTGTTACAAGGAGCTTTGAGTTCAGAGTCTATCGGTCCTTTGTTTTCATATCTTCTAAGCTTAGCTTTATGGGTACCCGACCGTGGAGGCAAATTCCTAGCCGGACTAGGGTTCGTAGTATTATGACAAGACGAAGACTGTAAGGGAAAAAAGTGTACAAATTCTTAAGGGAAGCCTTCACATCTGTCATTCAGGCGTATTTATCTGTCAGGTTCAGTCTTACAACAGTGTTGTTTGCATATTTTTATGCTGCTGGGGATTGACCCCAGAGCCTGTGCATGCCAGTAAGTTTGCTACTGAACTACACTGCCAGCTTGCCAAAGCTGTTGAATCTTTTCTTTTTCCTTCTCTTCATGTTTGTCCCTCTAATGTCTTGAGGCATTATATTAACAGAACAAGCACTCAGTAAGAACTTTTCTCTAACTTTTAATTTCTTGCTGTCTGTAATAAGCAGAATGTTTTAGGTTTGATGTAATTTTTCTAAAAGCTTGGTCTTGTTTTTGTTTGTAGTGCAGGGGACTGAACCCAGAACCTTGTGCATGCCAGGCAAGCGTTCTATCACTGAGTCATACCCCCAGCACTAAAAGGTGTTTTTGTATCTCTTTGAAGACATTAAAAAACCAAATGAGTTATCTTTGAAAACATACAGCAGAACCAGAAGAGATTAACTGGTGAGGCAGTGTGCTTTTTGGAAACATTTGTGCTCTTTTCAAATAATGTCTAAATACTGAAATAATTTCCAAAATTTAGTCCAAAAGACATATAAAGAAAGAAACTTAAATCAACAAGGCTTTGGAAGGACTCCAATCTAATAGAACATGTCAAAAATCCACAGAGCTCAACGATCTCCTAGTTAGTTACCTGGAGTTCACCTTATTTCAATGACTTTCTTGGTTCCCACTCACAAATCTTGATCTCAGTAAAGACTAAAACCTTGTAGTAAAATAGTAGGTAATATTTTTGTGGGAATAAAACTAAAATCACTGGCTAAAGACATATTTTCAATAATTCTAAGTTCTGTTGTTTCTCTTATTTCACTTACTGTCATAACTATTCGATTTTTACCCATTTTTATTGTAAGACTATTTTATTCTGAAATACAATTGAATTTATCATTATATTTCTTATACAAAAGGATTCTACTTGTTCCCTTAAATTGCTCTTATTTCCTTTCATTTCAATTATTATTATTATTATTTGGAAGTTTACAAGTAAGAATGAGGCTGCAAATATTAACTAATTATAAGATGAATTATCCCAAACTAGTCACAGTAAAATCCTTGTAGGTTGGTACTATGGAATAAAAATAGTGAAAACATAAAAGTTGTCTTTATTAATTAAAATATGAAGTCTGTTGGATAAAATGTTTTATACTCTATTTCATTTGGTTTACAGTAGAAATTTTTAATTATATTTCTAATAATAAGGTGTTCAAAAAATTCCTAGTTGATAGCCGTCACTTTGCTTTTTATTAGTTTCATTTCAAATGAAAACGACAGTTGCATGAAACACCAAACTAAAAAGCACTGGCAAGTTTAATTGGCCATATCTGTGCCCCTGATGAATGCCTGCCTGAGTCACACAAAACCTCCAAAGGTTACCATAGAAACCCAAAGGAGAAGGGGAGAGTAATTTAATAGCATAGATTTCTGCATACTGAAAGAGGACTTAGAGAAAGAACTAGGAATGTTTTCATTGTCTTTTCATCTGTAGTCATTAAAGAAAATGAAAGGACGAGATTTAAGTAATTTTGTTAACTCAAATAATTTTCCTTTGGTTAAAGATCCTTTAAAACTCCTATCTGGACTCAAACACAGTTAAGAAATTCATGTGTTTTATCTCTTCTGGGTCTCAAAGTGACTCATAAATGGGTATTAGCATTTTCTTTTTTAATTTAAAAATATTTTATTAATACTGTTTTCTTTAAGAAGTAACATGATTAGTAACATGAATGAAAGATTTTGTATAGACTGGAGAATTTGGAGAGGGAGTGAATGGCAAACTCAGTTATAAGAACGGTGACAAATTTTACATTATTATTGAAGGTTGGTAGTACAGTGTTGTCAGTAAACAATGTTCAAAAATTATGGTAAGCATAGAATTTCGAATTTATAATCTAAGATATAATTAAATATTTTTAGTTTGATAATTATATCAGTTTAGTTATTACAGTTTCTATTTATTTTTTTAACTTCCCAGACTGTAATTTTTATCTGTAGATGTTCATTAGGACATAGGTGAAGGAATATGGGGGCTGTTGAAGAGTAATAGAAAAATAACGGAAAACCTCTTGGTGCCTGGTAATGGGAGAGATCCACCATCAAGGCCTGGACACCCAGGACCACGTGTGGAGTGAGGACCACAGCTGGACCTGAAAGCAGCGGCTTGTAGAGGCCCTGAAACTGTGGCTTTTAACCTTTAATTTTCTTTCTTGAAACTTGTGGGTGTGACAGTGTCTCCTTTCTTCTGGTTAACATTGTTACCTTTGCTCTTTTTTTGTACATGATCCTTAAAGACCACAGACACAGAGGGAGGTGAGTTTTTAGCAGGAGGAGGAGGCGTGCGTGGTCCAAGAATTGTGGATAGGCCAACATCTCACTGCAAAGAGTCAGACTGGCCCTTCTGCTCTGATGAGGACTGGGTAAGCAGAGGGCATGACGAGCAGGGATCCTTCAAGTAGACATCACCAGACTATAGGCTCACACACAGGGTTCCAGAAACCTTTCCCTATAGGAAGCAATCTAGCAGCAACCTAACTCCTTACATGCTAAATTTCAGACAATGAAAGCAACATAGTCCAAAAGCATTTTGTAGTTACCTCAGGGTCTCTGGTGGGATGGACAAATGGGATCCTGAGTTCAAGGAGCCTGAGTAATTTGGTTTCAAAATTTCCCAGAACCTCATGTAAGGTTAACCAGACCCTCTTTCTAGAATTTCCCTATGGCCTCTAACTAGTTCCTTGTAGCTACTTTTGGGCCAATAGATGTTTGGAAAAGATGGGGAGGGGCAGTTCTGTGAACTGTGGTAACCTACAAGAGTGTTTTGTATCTAAGAGACAGGCCTTAAAATAATTCCCCCTTTGTTTTCAGAACCACAAATGCCCTTCTGGCTGCAGAATGAAAGGATTGATTGATGAAGTCAATCAGGATTTTACAAACAGAATAAATAAGCTCAAAAATTCACTATTTGACTTTCAAAAGAACAACAAGGATTCAAATTCACTGACCCGGAATATAATGGAATATTTGAGAGGCGACTTCGCCAACGCCAATAGTAAGTAGGATATGTCTAGTCCTCAGACTTCACAGCAAAACACCAACAATCCCAAATAATAATGATGGCTTAAAACTACTGTGATTTTATTCCAAAGTATCCAGTATGAAAATCACTAGATTTAATTAATCTTTAATCAAAGAAGGGACTTGGTATATGTTATTTTAATAGTCAAAGATGTTAGCTTAGATTGTTTAAGGTTACAACGCATGACAGAAGTCTGTATTGAAGACTAGACTTTCAGGGCATTCAAGAGCATCTGTTGAAACTAAGAAGGGCCAGACCCTTTGAACAGTTATTTTGCTTCTACTTTACAGACAAGGATTCTCAAAGGGAAAGGAACTTCTTGGAGACACAAAGTCAGAGTTCAACCCTAGATTCCACTGAACCAATTATGTAGATTTTTAAATGCAAAATATGGGGCTGTGCTTAGTCTTCCTTCCGGGACTCACCAGGACTAGGAAGTGCTGTGTTTGCTCTGGGCATGTGGAGTGAGTCCAGTGGAATCCCAGCTCCCAAAGCCTCATTTTCCTCATTCTGTCTTCCTGAGACCTTGACCAATTTAATGTCAGCAGTGGAGTACTAGTTGGCAAATGAGTGGTTCTGTGGATTCCCAGAAAGCTTAGAAACAATTTCAGAGTTATAGGTAGGAAGAAAAACTTCTCAATAGGAAAATCCAATGATATACTCAAGTCCCTTGTGTAAGGTTATTATAAAATACTTGAATGTGATTAAACTATTTTATCTTATTTCATTTTTAAAATTCCAAAGTAATTTCTTCTTAATTTATTTAGATTCTTGATCACTAGTAAGATATTGTAATGACACCCATGGATGATTTCAGTATAGAACACTGTTCAATATTCAAATGCCTAGTAAGCCTGATACTCATGGATTAAATGTCCAGAAAACAAGCAATAATCACAATAAAATGTGGAAATATTTATAAGCAATTTCTTTTTTTTTTGCTAGCCTTTATAATCAAATCAGTCTATAGTTCCCTCAATTCCAGCATTTCTATTTCAGACTATGATAACACATATAATCAAGTGTCAGAAGACCTGAGACGTAGAATTGAGATTCTGAAGCGCAAAGTCATAGAGAAAGCACAACAAATTCAACTTCTGCAGAACAATGTCAGGGATCAGCTGGTAGAGATGAAGCGCCTGGAGGTAAGCATGGGATGGTTTCTTTGTCTTTGAATAGTAAGGACAAGAAAAACACTAGCCATCTAAGTGTCCACTGTAAAAAGCAGAGGAAAGTGTTATAGCCATTATCCACTAAAACTAGATATTATTGCCCCTATACAGATGAAAAGTCCAGAGATAAGAAGGAAAGTTTTGAAGGATGAATGGGCAGTACATTACAAAAGGACATGTTCGGGACTGTCTGCCCACTGCATTACATGCCTGTGACCTTGGCCTCAGGCTCACTGAGGCTTTTTACTGAGGACTTCTTTTCTTAGGGAATGACACCTCTTTCTCTTGACCCATTCAAACTCTAAAATGGATCCAAATAATTCCCCTTGTGTATCCTTGCTGGTCTTCCAATGAGGATGCTATAGACTGCCTACAAGTCAAAGAAATGAAACCAATTTCCAAAATGTAAATCAACTACTAGGAACTCAAAAGACACAATTCATTTCTTGATGTCAACCTTTCCTGTGTCTTCCTCTCTTCAGGTGGACATTGACATTAAGATCCGCTCTTGCAAAGGGTCCTGCAGCAGGGGTGTAGTCCATGAGCTGGATCTAAAGGATTACGAAAACCAACAGAAGCAGCTTCAGCAGGTCATTGGCAAAGACTTACTCCCCTCAGGAGAGAGGCAGTACCTGCCAATGATAAAAATGAGTCCGGTTTCTGACTTGGTTCCTGGACATTACAAGAGCCAGCTTCAGGAGGCCCCTCCAGAGTGGAAGGCATTGACAGAAATGAAGCAGATGAGGATGGAGCTGGAGAGGCCTGGCTGGGGTGGAACGACTGGAGGCAACTCTGCAACACGTGGACAGGGATCAGAGGCAGAAAACCCTGGGAACCCTGGACCTGATGGTGCAGGACATTGGCCTCCTGGGAGCACTAGGCCAGGAAGTGATAGAAATCAGAACCCAGGAACCACAGGATCTGATGGTGCAGGACATTGGCGTCCTGGGAGCACTGGGCCTGGAAGTGATAGAAATCAGAACCTGGGGACCACAGGATCTGATGGTACGGGACACTGGAGTTCTGGGACCTCTGGATCGGTGCATGGTGGAAATTGGAATTCCGGAAGTTCTGGACCTGGAAGTTATAGGCCAGATAGCACCAGCTCTGGGAGCACCAAGCCTAGCAACCCTAAATGGGGTGAATTTTCAGAGTACCACACAGGTAAATCTGTCACTTCTAAAGGTGACAAAGAGCTCATGATTGGGAATGAGAAGGTTACCTCTACTGGCTCAAGTACCACCACACGTCATTCATGCTCAAAAACTGTCACCAAGACTGTGACAGGTTCTGATGGTCGCCGAGAAGTGGTAAAAGAAGTGATCACCTCCGATGATGGCTCTGATTGTGGTGATGCCATTGACTTAGACTTGACGCACAGTTTTGGTGGCAGGCTAGGCGAACTGGCCCAGAGATTCCCTGAGCATGCTGGTTTCTTCGACACTTCTTTGAGTTCACTCTCACCTGACATCAAAGAGTTTGGCAGTAAGACCCACGTTGATTCTGGCTTCTTCACAGACATAGAGGACACTCGCTCCCATGTACCTGCATTCTCTTCTAGTAGTAAAACCTCATCTGTCAGAAAACAGCATGTAACCAAGAGCTACAAAATGGCAGATGAGGCGGGAATGGAAGCTGGTCCTGAAAGCCTTGGAGACCTGCACACCACCACCAAGAGAGGCGGTGCTAAATCGCGCACATCCAGAGGTATCCACACTTCTTGGGAGTAGTCTTCCCTGATCTCCTCCATTAAGTTAACATCTCTACGTAGTGTCCTCAAGCATGTTGCACTTCTTTCTTAACCCTCTATTGTGCCCTGTTGAAATCACACTTTTTTGGTCTGTTTTTCATGCTAGACTGTAAGTTCCATGGGGGCAGGGACTTTGTCATTGTGTCTGTCTCTGTATTCCCAAATGCCTAACAGTGCAGAGAGTCATTGTTCAATAAATATGTGTTAAACAAATGAACGAATTCTTCTGAAATTCGATTTTGAGTCTGTTTAACCAAATTCATTGAAAATGTATGCTACTGGAATTGTCATCCAACTGTCTGACTAATCATAAGTTCAGTGTATGCCTCAGTTGATGTTTAGATAACATTAAAACCAAGTTCTGTTAGAATCAATTGATACTTAACTGCCTTTGATGATTATTTGCTGTAAGAATGTATAAGTGAAATTCCAAATTCATTTGAGGAAAGTTTGCATTTTGAAGACATAAATTGTCTCTCATGTGATTAAAATCATATCTCAATGTAGGTGCATGCTTTTCCCATGGGAGGAGGGAAGGGAGCAGGGAAGGAAGGAAGGAAGGAGGGAGGGAGGGAGGAGGGAGAGGGAGGGGGGAGGGAGGCAGGTGGTACCCAGGCAGAATTCTGTGCTCAGTCTCTCTCGCTGGGCTCTGGGCTAGGCGCTTGCCCTCTCTCTAGCTGGCTCCCAGGCTCCAGCCCGAGGCTCTCCCAGCCACCGACTGCGCACCCGGGGGGCGCCCGGCCAGAGCTCGCGCAGCCGACGCGGGGCTTTCGGGGTGCACCTCTGTCAGAGTTGTGGCTGGAAGGAAGGAAGGAAAAGAAAGAAAGAAAAAAGGGAGGAAGAAAGAAAGAGAAAGAGAGAGAAAGGGAGGAAGAAAGGCATACTTATCTTCTTTCATCTGGGCAATGCCTATCTTTATTTATTAAATAAATCAGAGTAGCTTCTTCCAACCAGCTTAATTTTTTTTTTAGACTGTGATGATGCCCTCCAAACACATCCTTCAGGTACCCAAAGTGGCATTTTCAATATCAAGCTACCTGGATCCAGTAAGATTTTTTCTGTTTATTGCGATCAAGAGACCAGTTTGGGAGGATGGCTTTTGATCCAGCAAAGAATGGATGGATCACTGAATTTTAACCGGACCTGGCAAGACTACAAGAGAGGTTTTGGCAGCCTGAGTGACAAGGGGGAAGGGGAATTCTGGCTAGGCAATGACTACCTCCACCGTCTCACTCTGAGGGGCTCTGTCCTCAGGGTTGAATTAGAGGACTGGACTGGGAAAGGGGCTTATGCAGAGTACCACTTCCGGGTAGGTTCTGAGGCTGAGGGCTATGCCCTGCAGGTCTCCGACTACCAGGGCACCGCTGGGGATGCTCTGATAGAAGGTTCTGTGGAGGATGGAGCAGAGTACACATCTCACAGCAACATGCAGTTCAGTACCTTTGACAGGGATGTAGACCAATGGGAAGAGAACTGTGCAGAGGTCTACGGAGGAGGCTGGTGGTACAACAGCTGTCAGGCCGCCAACCTCAACGGTATCTACTACCCTGGGGGTACCTATGACCCCAGGGACAACAGCCCTTATGAGATAGAGAATGGGGTGGTCTGGGTCCCCTTCAGGGGAGCAGATTATTCTCTCAGGGCTGTTCGAATGAAAATCAGGCCCCTGGTGGGCCAGTAGGCCGGAGCAGCAGGGTGTGAGGGCTTGATGATCTTGTTCAGCAAAGTGGAAAGATAGTAAGGACAATGAAGGAGTCAAGATTCTTTCCAGCTTTGAAAAAATTCCCAGGTGCTAGTTTATTATTCTTTGTACTGTAGCTAAACGCAACTGAGACGTATTACTATTTTGAAAAATAAAAGTATACATTTTTAAACCTTAAATAGCTCTATGGGCTTTGCAGTTTTTATATGGCTATGCCAGAGGGCTCCACACTCATGTGCTGCCTGTGTGGATCTGAAGCCCCATGACACACATAAGTGACACACCTCCAACTCACTGATAACTGGATAAAAACTTCTTCTGAACTAAGGGAAGTTTCATTTCTTTCAGACAGCAGTGAGTTGAGTCATCTCTGTCCCCACCCACTTTCACTCACTCATGTGCCTCCACCAAATGTGAGTTGGGATCAGAACATATTTAGGTTTTCATAATAGCACACTATACAGCAACAGAGAATTGATGTGATTATGAACAGGAAAGATCACTTCTTTCTAATTAATTTTGAGACTTTTGAGGTTATTATCAAAAGATTAGGTAGACTTTCAAGGTAGTAAACAATAGCCAATATTATCAGAATCGTAATAATTAGAGTTGCAGTTAGATTGTAAGAAAAGATACCGAACAGAACAACTCTTGGCTATTTACTTTGCCTTTAGCCTGCTCTAGGTCCCTTTTCTTGAAAATTAGTGTGTGTGTGTGTGTGTGTGTGTGTGTGTGCGTGTGTGTGTGTGTTACAGGGGAATTGAACCTAGGGTGCCACATATGCTTCCTGTGCTCGGCAAGCACTTTAACACTGAGCTATCATTCCAGTGGCTAAGTGTCTGGCCTTGAACTTGTGATCCCCCACCTCAGCTTTCAGAGCAGCTGGGATTATAGGCCTGTGCTGTCAGACCAGGCTTGAAATGATTCATTTGTCTTCTCAGTCTCTCATTCCCTTGGAAACCTATTTCAATGTGGCTTTTAGCTGCCTGCCAATCTCTAGAAAGTGCTTGCCTGAGTCAAGAATGATGGCTGTGCAAACTCTAAATTGAACACCTTTCATTCTAGCCTCTTCCAACTAGGCTTCTTTTTCAACACCTGCTGCTGTCTCACCTCCAATCCTGCCTCCCGGGTCTTTTCTCTTAGTTTCTTGTGTACCACTCTTTGCCTTTTTCAGTCTTTTTCAACTGGCAGTGTCTTCACAGGGCTTCTTATCACAGCAATGTCATCATTCACCTTTTTACCCGGGGTTAGGGTTAGCCTGTGAGCCTTCAGCAAGGCAGAATTATTTCTTGTTCAGAGAACACGCTTCAGGAAGCCAACATTCCTGACTTGGCTTTAAAATTCTGACGCTTTCTTCCATCGCCCAGTTCACCCCACAGTCTAACAGTGAGTCCCCTGGAAACCCCGGTAATAAGACAGCCTGTAGGGGAAGTCCATGCCTTCTCTCCCTCAAGGAATTTCTCCACTCTGTCCCATCCAGTACTTCCACTTATGCCTTAACAGATTGGCACAGGTGCAGGACAGCTTAAGCCTGTTCTGCTTTCAGCTTGGTCACAGCTTAGCCCAATTAAAATTAGGATTCTGTTAATAAGAAAGAGAGAGATAGCTGGGCGTGGTGGTGCACTCAGGAGGCTGAGGCAGGCGGATCTTTGTGAGTTCAAGGTCAGCCTGGTTGTTCTACATAGTGAGTTCCAGGACAGCTGGGGCTACAGGGGAGACTTGGTCTCAGAAAGAACCACCCCCAAAAAGAGAGAGGGATGTGGCTGAGATTCAGAATGATAGGTTCCTGACCAAACCATGCTTCCTCACTCCACAGGCAGTCAGTCCCCTTTGTCTTTGGCTATATGACACCAATGTAGCTTCAACGGCCCTTACCAGCCTAAGCAAGTGAAAAACAATGAGTTTAAGTCAGAATTTCTCAGCCACACGTATGAACACTTTGACAAACTGGTCCATTTCCACCTTCTGCAACCACTCACTGTACACTGTTATATTGCATGTTTTACCAGCATTGGAATACCTGATCCTTTAAGGAACCTGCCTGTTCTCACACACTGCCCTGTTTACTTCTTTAAATACAGCTCAGTTAATGCTGCTCTGTGAGCTATTTCCTAGCCTACCATAGAGCAAATTGCATTACTATCCGAGGCTTGCTGTTTTTGTTCATATCTCAGAAATAATTTCATCTCTCCCTAACTTTAAGATATTTACATTACTTTGGCACTAAATTGTGATTTCTTTTAGGGCAGACCTCATTTACGCAATGTATTCTCTTCTTAAGAACATCTCACCACTCTAAGACTGCAGCTAAATTTCAAGTGCGTCTTGATGTATTTTAGTTTTTTTTCTTTTATAGTTATGTTTAACTAACCTAAAACTTTTTTTAAATGTTATGGAAAAAATCTACTTTTCCTTTTTTCCTCTTTTCCTTTTTTTATTTTTTGTGGATGGATACCCAATTATATTGTGATTGTGTGTCAAGCTGTCCTTTGGCCATAGAGTTTAAATATCAATGTCAATTTCATTGTACAAAATTTTCTTTGGATGTATATATAGATTCTATTCTTTGGTTATACATCCATTTATCCTTAAAATATAGCACTGGTGTTTTTTTGTTTGTTTGTTTGAGGAAGGATCTTGCTACAAATCCCACACCAGCCTGGAGCTTGTGAGTTTCTTTCTTCAGTGCTCTGAGTCCTTGGATTATTAATGTACGCCATTAAGCCAAGCTTTGAAGTCTGGTTTTTAGATGAAGCGTTCTCCCTTTCATCCCTTGGGGTTTACTTTCTTCCTGCCTTCTTTTCTTTCTTTTTCTTTTTTGTTTTTAGCCTAGAAAAATTAGGCTTCATTTTTACTTTTATTTTCTCTAGGGGCTACTTATAGACTTTTTTGCATTTTATTTTTATTTATTTTTAAATTTTGGAATTTTTTTATTATTCCAAAGAGAGGCATTTTTAACACATTTTTCCAGAAATAACTTGAAACATGTTATATAAAAATATACATAGAATGGGGCTGGAGAGATGGCTCAGCGGTTAAGAGCACTGACTGCTCTTGCAGAGGACTCGGGTTCGATTCCCAGCACCTACATGGTGGCTACGAACACTCCAGTTCCAGGGGAATCCAAAGCCCTCTTCTGACTTCCATGGCATTGCACGACATGGGTGCACTCACATACAAGCAGGCAATACACTCATACACATAAAATAAAAATATAATAAATAAAATATTAATATATATATAATGAAGCTTAAAGGGGAAAAATAGGAATAAGAAATCTAAGACCAAAGGATTTGCCAAAATGGGGTCAACTTTGGTGAAATAATGAAGGTTTCTATTAGCTCTGTTCTTTTTTTTTTTTTTCCAGACTTTTTTTTTTTTTTTTTTTTTTTTTCTTTTTGAGACAGGGTCTCCCTGTAGCCCCAGCTGTCCTGGAACTCACTATGTAGACCAGGCTGGCCTTGAACTCACAGAGATCTTTTTTAAAAAATTTGTGTGTTTGTGCATGTGAGTACGTTTTTGTGAGTGTACTTGACTATGTGTGGGTGTATGTATTTGTGTGTGTGTGTGTGCGTGTGTGTGTGTGTGTGTGTGTGTGTGTGTGTACTCATCTGTGAAAACCAGAGGTCAATATTGGATGTCTTCTTCAATCATTCTCCACCTTATGTTTTGAGACAGGGTCTCTCACTGAGCCTGGAGCTTGTTGATTCAGCTAAACTAGCTGGCTAGTCTTAGTCTTCCCCTAAGTTTTGAAGGAATTAGGTGTGTCCATTTGCAAAATGTATTCAGCTCTACTTTTAAATCTTTTGACAAAAACTCATAAAGGACAAAAAGAAAAGAATTCATTAATTTCTAGAACAAAATTTAGGTTGACAGGCACATACAAATGCCCACTCACATAACATTATTTCAGGGCTTTTACTTTTTTTTTTTTTTTTTAGGGCAAAAGCTAAATAATACACCTCCTTACCCCATATAAACAGAACAAAAGTTTCCAACTTTATCTTTGCCCCATAATCTCAGAATCCCCCTCCCTTCACCTGTGATGTACCAGATATCTGTCCAGCCACACAGAGTATGCTCAAATAAGCTCAGTCACTTCACGGCCATGACAACAGGCAGGCTTGCTGCATTTTCCTCACTGGTGATAATGATGGTCAGCACTACTGTAAATTCTGTGAGTTAGACTTTGAATAAAAGTGAGATCTCCAGATTTGACGTTCAAAAAGAGCCATGTATTGAGTTTATTCAAGACAAAAAAGGAAAATTAACTGGGATTGAAATTTGGCAAAGATCGCTTGATGACCCAACAACCAAACAATAACCAACTCTCCAATTATCAGCTTCAGTCACAGAGAAAAAAAACAATTTTCTTTCCTCAAGAGCAACCATCTTGCTTTCTTCTCCCTACCCTTTGGCAAGAAATGTGAATTGCGTTTTCTATTTACTCTAAATACCGCAAAGACCTCCAGGTTGGGTTCCTTCTTCCCAGGCCCTTAAGGTAAGTTTTTAATTTAATTTAATTTAATTATTTAATTGAAAAGTGTGTGTGTGTGTTCCTGTCTGCATGCATATATGTGTGAGGGTGGACATGCACGCATTTGCATATGTGTATGGAAGTCAGAGGTTAATAGTGAGAGTTTTCCTCTCTCGCTCTCCTACTAGTGGTCAGGGTCAGGGGCAGATGTGTCCAGGTTCTTGGCCTCTTATCCAAAGAATTGAAAACAGGGGCTTAGACAAGTTCACAAAAATATAAGATAATTTATTCAAAGAGAAATACTAGTACAGACCAGAGACAGATACACTGTCAAGATTGACAGTAGGCCACGTGACTGAGGGTACTGACGGGTCCCAGTTATTATTTGGGGCTTCCTTTTATGGGGTTCAACTGAAGCCATGTTTGGTTGTTAAACAGTATAGTAGCATAGGCAGTTCCCTATTTTGTTTCATAGATTAGGTCATATAATCATATAAATTTTTCTACTGTACATGTCACTTCCCACAATGCATCTAATTTTAATCAATGAATGCCCAATTGTATATAAGAATAAGATGATAAATAGGGGATTCTTCATAAAAGTTCATTTGAGGGACACAGTTTGGCTTACTGCACTTGCACCCCAAACTGGCTCTGGTCGGATCAGCCCTGCTAGTTTTCCTGCCTGGATATAGTGGTAAT